TAAAGGCATGCTCCACCACATTTAGCTGGAACTCTCTATTCTAAATGTTAACAGACTTAAAAAAAATTTTTTATGTGTATGAGTGTCATGCCTGCATGTGTGTAAGTGCACAAGTGTACCTGTGTCATGTAATGCCCTTCAGAGGTCAGAAGAGGGCATCAGATCCCCTGGAACTGGAGTAATGGATAGTTGTGAGCGGCCGTGTGGGTGCTGGGAGTCAAACCCTGGCCATTGGTCTTAACTGCTGAGACATCTGTCCAACCTGTAAATGGTAACACTCTTAAAGAGATTCATTCATTCAGTTGTTTTTTGAGAGGCTTTGACTGTGTGTCCCTGGTTGGAACTCCCTCTCTAGCCTAGAGCTTGCTCTGATGCTCTTGCCTCTATTTTTTTTTTTTTTTTTTGAACCAGTCTCTGTAGCCCCAGCTGGCCTGGAACTTGCTATTGCTATGTAAACCAGCCTGGCCTTCATCTCACAGAAATCCACCTGCCTCTGCCTCCCGAGTGCTGGAATTAAAGGTATACGCCACCACACCCAGCCCTGCCTCTACCTCTTGAAGGTAAAGTAGTGTGCCCTGCTTCTTAGTAATTTTAAGAGTAATTCCAGTATTCAGAAATCTAGGCAGGAGGAAGATCACTGAATTTAAGGTCTGCTTGGGCTACATAGAGACTGTGCCTCAGCCCCCCCCCCAATAAAAAAAATTTAAAAGACAAAATACTGGGCAGTTCTTCCCCTTCTCACCCAGTTCCTTCAGTTTACAGTCCGGTATTCATGCTGTTTAGTGATCGGAGCTTCAAATCAACAAGTATTGGTATTGTTAAGATTTATGTCATTATTAAGTTTAAAATTATTCATCAAGAAATGGGTTTTTGCTTGTTTTAGACATGGTCTAAGCAGCCTTCAGCTCATACACCTGTCAAACTCCCAAGCATGTGGCTAGACAACTTAAATAGCATTTAGTTCTTATTTATATAACATGTCATAAACCCCCCATAAGTGTGAGTTAGATGAGAATTAGCCTCTCTAAGCTTTGGCTTTACAGTCTCATTAGAGTAATTAGAGTCAGCCTTTTAAATTTTTTTTTATTTATGATTATGTGTATGGGACTGGAGAGGTGCCTCAGTGGTTAAGAGTGCTTACTGCTCTCGAAGAGGCTCGAGGTTCAGTTCCTTGTACCTGCATTGGGTAACTTATAATGACCTGTAACCCCAGTTCTATGGGATCTAGAGCACACTCTGGCCTCCTTATGAGATACAAGTCTTAGGGGACGTAATTTACATGTCATAAAATTTACTCTGTGAATATAGTTCTGTAATTTTTAGAATTCAGTTTGACCATCATTACTATCTAACTTGAGAAAACATGACAATTTTTAATCAGTATTTTAAGTCCTTACTGCTTTTTTACTTCAAGGCTTAATTTTTTCTGCCCTCCCACAAGCACATACTTAAAGGATGAGATTGTGTGGGGTCACATGGTATAGAATGGTGTGATGGCCTCCGAATACTTGCCAGAAGCAGATACGTTAGTAGATTTGTTCAGGCCACTTGAACAATAGAACAGGAATCAGTTTCTCCTTCACAAATGAGGGACTAGGAAGAAGTGTTCTAAAGAGACAGGCACCGCCAGGTTGCTTGAATACCAGAACTCAAGTTCACAGTCAAACCGTGTTGTGTCCCTGGCTTCCTTCCTCAGATTTGGTAGATGTTTTTGTTTTGAACATAAGTGACTCCATAGATTTTTATGAAGATGCTTTCAGTTAAATCTCAGGGCTCCCCAAACCTCAAAATGGCTAAACACCACCCACTAGCTTAACTGGGCTGCTGTAAACAGAGCTCAGAATGAAATCCCTGTGTATTTACTGCAGATTCCTAGTTTCCTCTCAGGAGCAGGGATAAGCTCAGCCAAGGTTTAATGGGTCTATTAAGTAGTCACCCAGTAAGAGTTGTGTCAGGACAATGTTTTCCACAGCACTACCTGAAAAAGGGCGGACCCTGGGACTTCCCACCACCCTCAGATGTTCAGGCAAAAGCCAAGCCACAGCAACATACAAAGGGCAGTCATGAGGCCTACGTTATCATTCTATTCTCTGTGATGTTGAAGAATGTTCCTTCAATGAGAATCAAATGTGCGGCAGGGACTGGTGGATAACTTCAGTGTCTGTCCTCACCAACACTAATGGTAGCTGTTGGTTTAAAGGAACCTCACTATTAAAGCTGTGGCCATAGTGTTCCTTCACAGTTCCAGTGTGGTAACTGGAACATGCTGGCGTCTTGCCCAAAGTCAGACTCTCTGAAGACAGCTCATCTCTTAGAGTTGGTCTAGACCAGTGCCCTGTAGTTTTGACATGGTGTTTATTTGGGGGAAGGAAGAGGACTGTAAGGGTATAGATTGAAGACTGTCTCTTAAAATTGTGTCATCTGGTGAATGGAACTCTTGTGTGTTGTTTCCTTGGTGAGGAGGAGGCTGAAGTTTCCTAGAGTTAGAGATGATTGTAAGACTTTTGACCTTGATGGCTGTTAGGGAGTTTGGAGAACAAAATAGGAATATATAAACTCAAGCACTGTTGCCTACTTTCCTGTTTCTGTAATCTGGTCATCTGATACTGTTTTTTCCAAAGTGGCATTTTCTTTTAAATTTTCTCCTGAATTAGGTTAAAAAAATGTCTCTTAACAAATTCCTTTTTGTACTGTGTAGAATACTTATCTTCCTCATCGTTTTTCCTTTAATACCTACCGGATCAGTTATTTTTCTGTTTTTCGTTCTACCAGTTTCTACAAGTAACTTTGTTTAACTTAGTGAAATGTGTTAGTGGTCTCCCTTACCCACCCATCTCTGCCTGCCTTCTACACATGGAAGAGGAGCACTTGTTTAGCAATTGCCTATTTAAAAGGAAGGCTTACTTTTAGATACTTGCTTACAAAAATCTTTAAAAACTAATACTTAAAATTGCATTTATTTCGATACTGTGAATGTGGAGGTCAGAGGACAATTTGCGGGAAATGGTTCTCTCCTTCCACCTTGTGGGTCCTGGGGATTTATTTAACTTCAGGTCTTCAGGCTCGGGGCAAGCACCCTTACCCACTGAGCCATCTCCCCATCTCACCTTCTGCTAATAAAAATTTAAATTTTTGTTCTTTTATTCTTTCAAATGAGGTCTTGCTCTGTAGTCCCAGGCAGTCCCCATACTCATTCATAGCAGTCCTGCCTTAGTCTCCTGTGTACTGGGGTTATAGGCATATACCACCTCACCTGACAAACTTTCCTTCCCTCCCCTCCCTCCCTCCTTCCATCCATCCATCCCTCTTTTTGAGACATTGTTTCCCTGTAGCCCCAGCTGGCCTGGAACTCCATATATAAACCAGGCTGGCCTCAAACCCCAGAGAGCCACCTGTCTCTGCCTCCCGAGTGCTGGGATTAAAGGCATGCACCACCACCCAAATTATTTTCTTAAAAGCATTTTAAAACCTTTGTTAATATTTTTGAACTCCTCAATCTCAAAAACACTATACATACACGCCACTGAATATTTGGTTACCTCTGAAGTCTTCATTATTCCTTGCTCTGGTCCACTGAACAGCCGTGAAGTGGCATGGGCTTGGGTAAATTGTTCCTGTGGCAGATACAAAGCTTTGTTGCTCATATACTTATTTCTAAAGTAACCTAAAGGATGGCTCTCTGATTATAAATCTCAACACTACTTACACAAAGGCAAGTGTTACTTTTTCTTTTTTTAAAATATTTTATTATTTTTAATTTATGTTTATGCGTGTATTACCTGTGTGTAGGTAAGTGCACCCATGTCGTGCAGTGCCCGATAGAAGAGGCTGTCAGATCCCCAGGAACTGGAGTTATGGACAGTTGTTAGCTGCCATGTGGGTGCTGGGATTCAAACCCGGGTCTTCTGCAAGAACAACCAGTGTTCTTGACCACTGAGCCATCTCTCCAGCCCTAATTTTTTTTCTTGCTTTGTCTGATGCTTTGTGGTAATTTGTAGTCGGACACTCATGTCTATGTCTGAGTTGCTTCAATGGGGTTTAGTTTCAATAGTCATTGCCTTTTTTTCTTATGGGCTGTTTATTTGGCAGCTCAGGCTGGTCTTAGACTCGTGATGGTCCTCCTGCCGCAGTCTCTTTCCCTTGTGCTGGAATTACAGATGTGTGCTGCCACATGCACATTTCCTTTGTTAATATTCTTGCTGGGTTGCAGACTGGCCTCTATAGATAACTTTTGTAGCCAAGCTAAAGATTTCCTTCTTCTTCCTTGCTGTTGGTTTTTCTTTCTGAGCAGGACCCTTTGCTCTACTGCTTGGGCATTTATTTGTTTTCCACTCTTTCCTGCCCTTAGGCACAAAACCTCACAGATTTGGTCGGAAATGTCAGCCATGGGACAGCACGAAGGCCACAAACACTGAGCACACTAATTTGTACTGATGGTTTGTGGAGTTATTCCTAAACTCTAAGGTTGGATTTCTGTGATTTTCACATCCTCTTTTCAGACAAATGTGACTTCAGAACTTCAGGGAAGAAACCCCCCTGGTTTCCTATAGGTCGCAATGGTGGGGTGATGTCTATGGAGCTTCTGTTGCTTGGAACAGAGTAGTCACAGTAGTGAACGTACAGACCTTTCCTACAGGGGAATCATTTGACATGTAAAGACATGAAATACCAAGATGAGACATCACTTAAATGGTAGGGTTTTTTGGTTTTTTTTTTTTTATTTGAGACAGAGTCTCACTATGTTGCTCTGGCCAGCTGGCCTGGAACTCTCTTATGTATATCAGGCTGGCCTCAAACTCTGACAGATCCACCTGCCTCTGCCTTGGGATTAAAGGTGTGTGCCCCACCCTGGCTCTTGGCCCTTTTCTTATTTTTATGTATATGAATGTTTTATGTACATGTATGTAAGTGTACTGTGTATGTGTGGTGCCTGTGGAAGCCAGAGAAGGGCTTCTTGTTATTGCCCTCAACAAAGCCGTGTTACTCCCTTCTCTTTACAGCTATTGCCTGGAAGAAAAGATGTTTGGTTTTCACAAGCCAAAGATGTACCGAAGTATAGAGGGCTGCTGCATCTGCAGAGCCAAGTCCTCCAGTTCAAGGTTCACAGACAGTAAGCGTTATGAAAAGGACTTCCAGAGCTGTTTTGGGTAAGATCCATTATGTTTGTTCCATTCTTAAAGTGAGAAACAGACACAGCATGTGGAGGTGTTTTCATGCAAAGCATTGGGGACCAGCATGCTGATCATTAAAATCACTAATTTTACAACATCTAGGCTATTGAGGATGCCTTTTCTTTTTTGGTCTTTTTGAGACAGGGTCTCCCTGTAGCCCCAGCTGTCCTGGAACTCATTATGTAGACCAGGCTGGCCTTGAACTCACAGAGATCCACCTGCCTCTGCCTCCCGAGTGCTGGGATTAAAGGTGTGTACCATCACACCCAACCCGAGGATGCCTAT